TTTATTGTAACATAATTCATTCTTACTTATACAAATCAGATCATGAGATTGTTATTGCCTATTTTTCTAATATTCAATATGAATCCCAATCTCATTCAAGAATTAATGATACTAAAAGAAAAATTCCTCTTCTCAAATCTATGAACTCTACAAAATGGACAACTTTTACTGATTATTTCAATACTTATTACAATAACCACAATTTTGATTGCTTAAAAGATTTCCCAGCCAATCATGTAAATATGAATAATCTCTGGATGAAATTGAAAAAAGCAGTTTTGGATATTAGTAAATCTAAAATTCCTCACAAATGAATCTCTACACAAGACCGTGTACCAAAACTAAAGGATCTTTCTCAGTACTACACATCTCTCACCAAGATCGAAAAGATCCTTTTAAAATTTCAGTCTAAAAGGCTAAGAGAGAGACTTTGGCCTATAGGCAAAGAATGAAAATATGATCTAAACATTGTTGAAAAAATTGTCAAAGACATTTCATATCCTTTAAATCCTCTACCCTAATTTTTAAATCTATCTAATGTTAGAGATGTTAAAAAGACTCCTAACTGTATCTATAAGGTATTATATAAGCTCACCAAATTGGATGCTAAGAAAAATACTGATACACAAATAAAATCACTTATTGGAAAAAGATGCGATCAACTTGAATCTCAACCTGAAAGGATGATAGATTCTATTCTACAAAGGAAAAAAAAAATTACTTTGGATCGAGTCTTTATCAATCATAATGATGGCTCTAAACACTTCATCCTAGATCCTGATAAAATCAGAAAGTTGCAATCAACCATTTCAAAATAATGCATTACCAACAACACCCCCAAGATCCCTAGATGGAAGATGGATCCTACAGTATCAACTAAAAGAATACGTATCTGAGAATATTTATTATAATCTTATGCAACCTCCAACTTATAATGAATGGTTCTCAGTTCTTACACATTTAGCTAAAAATAAAGCTGCTAGACCTTCGGGTATCCTTAACAAAATGTTTCAACACCTAGGAGACAAGTTCAAACATCTAGTATGGCAATTAATTTGCATGTGCTCGATATTGGTGATACTCCTAGTGAATGAAAAATTGCACTTGTATATCCTATTCCCAAACCAATAGAATGGAAATGTGACATTACTAAGTCTCGTCCAATCACCCTTTTAGAAACGTTAAGAAAAGCATTCTTTAAAGTTATTACCAATCAACTTTCAAAGATTCTCGCTAAGCATCATGTTTTAAAAGGCAACAACTTCGCTGGTTTACCTGGAGGTTCTACTGAAAAACTAATCAAAATTCTAAACATGTTATTAAAAGATGCTAATGAAAACAAAAAAGAACTCTGGATATTATTGCAAGACCTTTCCAAAGCATATGATCGCGTTGTCTTGAAATTTCTTCGTTTCGCTTTACAACGTATCAAAATTCTTACTAAATGTGTAAATCTAATCATCAACCTTTTCACTAATAGAAAAAATGCAATTTTTATAGCTGACGGTCTTACTGATTACTATGATATCAAAATTATTATTGATCAAGGAGAGGTTATTTCTCTTTTACTATGATGCATTTATCTAGATCCTCTTTTATGTGAAGTAGATGCTTTAAACAAAGGATATGAAATCTCCCATATATGGACCAACAATATTATCAGCAACTCCACAATAACTCTTTTAGAATCTGTATCATCCTTGACCTTTATGGATGATACTAACTGAATTCCCAACTCTCAACAAAATCTAGAAGATATCCTTGCAATAGCTGACGATTTTCATGATTTAACTAGGACTGCTTAGAACAAATCCAAATCAAAGCTTATCACAACAAAATCTTTTGCATCCCTGACCATCAATATCAACTTTGGTTCTTCTACAGTCAATATCACTCCTGAGTTAAATTCTGTGAGATTTCTAGATATTTGAATCAATTGTTCGAATTCTCAAACTTTTGTCAAAACTTAAGTCCAAAAAGATATCAATAATTTTGCTGCTATCATGAAGCCAAAACTTTTCACTGATAAACAAATTGCATATATTGTTAATGCAGTACTCTGTTCACTCTTAGAATATCGATTGCAATGTACACCTCTTTCTGAAAATGAATGTATGTAATATTTACTTTGGTCCTATTAGAACTTTTTTTAAAAGAAAGTCTGATTTTGCTATTACAATTCCCACTGCTGTTTTAAATAGCAATAAATATTACAACCTCTACGATCTTTGGTCCCTTTAAATAAAATCTTTCACAACTGCTCTCGTCAACCAATTCAATTCGACAGATTTTTATTTTAATGTATCTTCAATTTGTCTCTTCCAACTTCAATCACTCAACCTCCTTCCATCATTTCCGCTTCACTTTTGGAAACATTCTTACAACCGTTCTTCTCATAAAAATCTAATTGTGCTCAACTTAGCATCACTAACACAATTGCCTCTGGTTTTAAACCTAGAGTCAAAGATTTTTTGCTTAACCACATAATAGGAGGTTCACATTCAATTTACCAATTATTTTCTTACGCTATCTTAAAACAAAATTTTAGTATTATTAAAAGCTTACAATTATATTATCTGGATCAACTTACTTCACTAGATGGTTTTCATCTTCTTAACTAGAAAGACGTTAGATTTCGCCTTCCTGTATCATTAACAAAATCTGCTAAAGTAGATTTTTCTTTTTTCAATAAAGTTATTTTTAATTTAGTTGTTTTTAATCCTTTAGATAGATTTCTTAAACCAGAATATAGATTAGATGATAACTCTTCTTTTATGTTATTTTATGATTTAAATATTAATCCTTCTGACATCAAAAGAGAATATGTCACCTTTTGGAATTCGATCACCAATACCAATATTTATAGGCAAATTACTAGAAAACACTTACATATTGAGACAGCTGATATACGCTACTTTAATTTAATCTCTAACGATTTGGGACTTGAATGTCTTGTTAAATATACTGGATGTTCCTTGAATGGTAATAGAAAATGTGTCTAAAATTCTATTTCAAAATATCGTTAAAATAGATATTATAGGCAAAAACAATTGTCAGAAAGCTGCAGTAAAAAACTCTTCTTGTTTATCTTCATTTGAACTCACCTTTTGTGCAAAATTTCTAGCTTCCTTGATCATTCCCACACTTCTTCATGATAGATTTACACCATCACTAATATCCCAACTTATCAACGAACCACAATATATTGATCTTCTTTTAGAAATAGCTCTTTCACTTTCTTCTGCTCTTTCTCTATCATTCTATACAGATAGTTCTTTAATACATCCTATTTCTAATAATTGTAGAATGGGAATAGGCTGGATATGTTTGAATCAACTACAATCCTTCCGTGAATCTGTTATCAATTGGGTTTCTTCAACCTGAGCTGAAATCTTTGCACTTCTCACTGCTTTGATTGTTTCTCCCAAAAATTCAGAAGTTATTTTATTTACTGATAGTATGGCTACTATCCATGGCTTTAGTTCTTACATTTCCAATAATAATTTTTCTGTTTAAACATTTGAAAAAGTGTCCAATTACACCCTTTGGAAAACTATCAAATTTATTGTGAATCATTTCAATCTCAGGATTACACTCAAAAAAGTCAAAGGACATAGTAGTGATATTTATAATAATATAGCTGATGATCTAGCTAAATCAGGAACACAATCACCAGGAATTTCTATTACTTCTTAACGTCCCCTTTAAGACGTGCTTATTTCAATTTAATGATATTATAATTGAATCATCAGTGAGACATTTTGCTAAAAATATTTTTGCCGCTACTGCAGTCTCAAATATTATTGACTTGCACAGAAATGATGATCTCAAATCCTTAACAAGACAGGCAAAAGTTCATTGGATGACAATATGATCTATCTTTACGTTAGATCAGGCTACATACTCAACTTCCTTTCAACAACGAAAGCTTCGTTCCTTTATAATGAAGATATTCTTGGGAGAATTACCTACATTATCACGATTGGAAAAACTAAGACCAGATTTATATAAAAACTAGAACTGCGTTGGATGCAATTTAACTACTGAGACAGCTGATCACTTATGGTCAAGTGATGCTTACTCATTAAAAATCAATATTATTATCTCTGATGTTAAGTCCCAGATCATTGATTTAATTTCAAAATGCTGTTCTCCTTCTCTTTTTACTTCAATCTCAACCTTCTTATATCTGCTCCTAAATAAACACTTTGCACACCCAATACACAGGATCAGCTCTTTTCTACCTATTATTCAAGGGAAACTACCTTCTTTATTGTTTAATGATTTCACGAATCTGATTGGATCTTCTAAAAAGACCAATAAAATTCTTACGACTTCAATTGTTGCTCTTTATGAGCATCCATTTAAGAAAATTTGGTCGTATTACTGCTCTCTTATGATTGCTAAAGAATTATCAAAAAATATCACTTCTGACATGAAAAACATGAATAAGAAATGCAAACATTTGTTTTATGATAACAGCATAGCTATAACCAATACTTGGGAACTATGGATTCAACTTGCCCTTACATATAGATATAAATGGTCAGATTTTTAAATCGGTTCTGACATGTTCTTTTTCTTTTCTTGATGATTTTAGTAGTCATTAGGCTAGTCTCTTTGGGTCTAAAGGGGGGAATTGATGATGATAGGTCGATCTAGATGGATAGGTATGTTTACATATTCTATTATCAGGAGGTAGCTAACATTTAGTCTAGATTATTAGATAGTTTTT